CAAATCGCTTTCCCCCCTCCACTCGTTCTCAGAAAATCTTGATTAAAAGAACAGCATACTGTTCAGTGGGAAATTAAAATTTCAAGTTAGAAAAAAATTGTGTTAACAAAAATTGTTCCTGAAACAATTCTAAACAAACTTTGTCAACAATTTTTTTTGATTTAATCAATAATTAAGGATATAACCTCAAAAATATTAATTTTTGTAGCATACTGTTCAGTGGTAAATTAAAATTTCAAGTTAGAAAAAAATTGTGTTAACAAAAATTGTTCTTTAAACAATTCTAAACAAACTTTGTCAACAATTTTTTTTGATTAAATCAACAATAAGGATATAACCTCAAAAATATTTTTATATATATATCTTTATATAATTTTTTTATTGAGAAAATAGTTTTAGAATTTAATTTAGAACAACTTTTGTATGAAATTTTCTGCTGAGAATGAGTGAAGGGGGAAAATCATATCGTTTTGTTACAAAAATCACTGTTTTGCCCCTCCAAGTAGACTTTTTAGTCCACCTCATTGGCTTTTCTCATAATTTTTATAAATTATTTATCTTTTACAACATCCACTATTCATATTCTCACATCTATCTTCTTCTTATACATCTAATTAATTTAATTTTGCAACATAACCCAACTTTAAAAGAAAATTTAACATAACCTCACTTTACAAAAAAAGAAAATTTATTATTAATTTTTCTTACTTGATGAAGAAATGGGTGTCCAAATTTACCATCTAAGGAAGACCATCTTATGGTTTTAATAATAAAAGTGTCTCTTTCGGGCGTTATTGGATTAATTTTCGCGAAAATTTTACATAGTTTCGGTGTCCACGATGTGTAATCTTTATTCCCGGATTGAACCAAAACGTCCACTAGTAAAGTACCTAAATCAGCTCCACTAATATCCTTAAAAAACACATTTTTTAATTGAATTACGTTTATTTATTAACTTATTTATATTTTTCTAACCTGGTTGTGATCTAAAAACGACATAGCTCCATTATACAACATATCCAATAATTCTAAATACTTCTCTTGGCCCAAATATCTGCAATAAACGAAAGAAAATGTGCGTGGAATGTTCTCGAAATTAATTTTTCGTTGTGATTTTAGTTACCTAAAGTATAACATTCGGTACATTTGGTGAGCCTCGTAGAATTCCCCGTTTTTAATCGAATTGTCTATCTTTTGCAAAACTCGCGAAACGCCACGAGCATTGACCGAAGCCATTTCGCAGTCGTGTTTTTACAAGTTTCGCGAAATACTCTTTACTATTTTTCTAGAGTTTTATGTGTCAAAATCGGACCATCTCGGAAACGTCAAATTTAGTAAGTTTATTTGTCAATTATTAAAGTTGGTATTAACCATTAACAAAAAGAATTAATTTATATAAATCATCAAATTATAATGATTTTATTAATTAATTTTGCTACATCAATCTAGTTTTAATTAAAATTAAATAAATATAATTTAATTCTATTATTATACTTTGAGATTCAAGATGGTTGGTATCACTTCTTTTTGGTTCACTCAAAGCGGGAAATTTTAATTGTTACAAATTCAAGTTAATTACTAAAAAATCTGATATTATTGATTATAAACGAATTGAATTAATTTGCATAAAAAATTAACTCTAAAAATCCGATAATTGAAATTTAATTTTAATAATTTAGCAAATAAAAAAGAAGAAACCTTTGTCTTTGTGATTACCTCGAAATAGGAATGTAATTAACTTCTCACTAATTAAAAAAAAAATAATCAAAAAGGTCATAAATAATAAAATTTTCGTAAAAATCAGAAAATTTTAACCCAATTTGATGTATCGCACCTCATTTTTATCACAAAATTAGCTTTTAAAACCATATTTGTCATTATTAATTGGTGTTTTGTTTTCGGCCATCTTGGATTTAATAAAACATGTTAAAATTGAAATAAGTCGCAAAATTATTACGCAAAATAAGTCGCCTTTAGAATCATTTTGAAGAATTTTTTGTGTAGATTAAGAATATTTAAAAATTAAGGTTACATTTAAACCGGAAGCCTCCATCATTCCTTTATTTTTTAAGAAACATCAAAAATAATAAGATTTTCGTAAAGATCAGAAAATTTTAACCCAATTTGATGTATCACACCTTATCTTTATCATGAAATTCACTTTTTAAAACACAATTGTCATTATTTATTAGTGTTTTGTTTTCGGCCATCTTGAATTTATTAAAATAAAGATATTTCGGGTGTTATAACACCTAGATATGCCGAGTTTGGGCTCATTTCACAAGTTTTTTAATTATCTAACGAAATATTTACAAATCATTTGTTTTCGGCCATCTTGGATTTAATAAATAATGTTAAAATCGAAATAACTCGAAAAGTTAATAAGTAAAATAAGTCGTGTTTGGATTTATTTTAAAGGATTTTTCGTGTAGATTAAGAATATTCAAAAATTAAAGTTGAGAAATAAACCGGAAGTCTGCATCATTCCTTTATTTTTTACATTTTTTGTTTGTATTCTTTTAAAATGAAAAATTAAATCAAATTTATTGCAAATTGAGATTTAGTAATATTTTATAATTAAAAAACAACAATATTCATTTCAATTTTTTAAGAAACATCAAAAATAATAAGATTATCGTAAAGATCAGAAAATTTTAACCCAATTTGATGTATCACACCTCATCTTTATCATAAAATTCACTTTTAAAATCAAAATTGTCATTATTTATTAGTGTTTTGTTTTCGGCCATCTTGAATTTACGAAAATAAATATATTTCGGGTGTTATAACACTTAGATATGCCGAGTTTGGGCTCATTTCACACGTTTTTTAATTATCTAACGAAATATTTACGAATCATTTGATTTCGGCCATCTTGGATTTTATAAAAAGTGTTAAAATCGAAATAACTCGGAAAGTTAATAAGCAAAATAAGTCGATTTTTCGTGTAGATGAAGAATATTTAAAAATTAAAGTTGATATTTAAACCTGAAGATATCATCATTCCTTTTATTTTTTAAGAAACATCAAAAATAATAAGAGTTTCGTAAAGATTAGAAAATTTTAACCCAATTTGATGTATCACACTTTATCTTTATCATAAAATTCACTTTTAAAATCAAAATTGTCATTATTTATTGGTGTTTTGTTTTCGGCCATCTTGAATTTATAAAAATAAAGATATCTCGGGTGTTATAACACCTAGATATGTCAAGTTTGGGCTCATTTAACACGTTTTTTAATTATCTAACGAAATATTTACGAATCATTAATTTTCGGCCATCTTGATTTTACAAAAAATATTAAAATCGAAATAATTCGGAAAGTTATTAAGCAAAATACGTCGTGTTTGGATTCATTTTAAAGGATTTTTCGTATAGATGAAGAATATTTAAAAATTAAAGTTGATGTTTAAATCTGAAGATATCATCATTCCTTTTATTCTTTAAGAAACATCAAAAATAATAAGATTTTCGTAAAGATCGGAAAATTTTAACTCAATTTGATGTATCACACCTCATCTTTATCATAAAATTCACTTTTAAAATCAAAATTGTCATTATTTATTAGTTAGTGTTTTGTTTTCGGCCATCTTGATTTTATAAAAATATAGATATCTCAGGTGTTCTACCACCTAGATATATCAAGTTTGGGCTCATTTCACACGTTTTTTAATTATCTAACGAAATATTTACGAATCATTAATTTTCGGCCATCTTGATTTTACAAAAAATGTTAAAATCGGAACAAATCGGAAAGTTATTAAGCAAAATACGTCGTGTTTGGATTCATTTTAAAGGATTTTTCGTGTAGATGAAGAATATTTAAAAATTAAAGTTGATATTTAAACCTGAAGATGTGATCATTCCTTTTATTTTTTAAGAAACAACAAAACTAATAAGAGTTTCGTAAAGATCAGAAAGTTTTAACCCAATTTGATGTATCACACCTCATCTTTATCATAAAATTCACTTTTAAAATCAAAATTGTCATTATTTATTGGTGTTTTGTTTTCGGCCATCTTGAATTTATAAAAGTAGAGATATCTCGGGTGTTATAACACCTAGATATGCCGAGTTTGGGCTCATTTCACACGCTTTTTAATTATCTAATGAAATATTTACGAATTATTAATTTTCGGCCATCTTGATTTTACAAAAAAATTTAAAATCGAAATAACTCGAAAAGTTAATAAGTAAAATAAGTCGTGTTTGGACTTATTTTAAAGGATTTTTCGTGTAAATTAAGAATATTTAACAATTAAAGTTGACAAATAAACCGGAAGTCTCCATCATTCCTTTATTTTTTACATTTTGTGTTTGTATTCTTTTAAAATGAAAAATTAAACCAAATTTATTGCAAATTGAGATTTAGTAATATTTTATAATTGAAAAGCAATAATATTCATTCCAATTTTTTAAGAAACATCAAAAATAATAAGATTATCGTAAAGATCAGAAAATTTTAACTCAATTTGATGTATCACATCTTATCTTTATCACAAAATTCACTTTTAAAATCACAGTTGTCATTATTTATTAGTGTTTTGTTTTCGGCCATCTTGATTTTATAAAAATATAGATATCTCGGGTGTTCTACCACCTAGATATGTCGAGTTTGGGCTCATTTTACACGTTTTTTAATTATCTAACGAAATATTTACAATTCATTTGTTTTCGGACATCTTGGATTTAATAAATAATGTTAAAATCGAAATAACTCGAAAAGTTAATAAGTAAAATAAGTCGTGTTTCGATTTATTTTAAAGCATTTTTCGTGTAAATTAAGAATATTTAAAAATTAAAGTTGACAAATAAACCGAAAGTCTCCATCATTCCTTTATTTTTTACATTTTGTGTTTGTATTCTTTTAAAATCAAATGTTAAACAAAATTTATTGCAAATTAAGATTTAGTAATATTTTATAATTGAAAAACAATAATATTCTTTTCAATTTTTTAAGAAACATCAAAAATAATAAGATTTTCGTAAAGATCAGAAAATTTTAACCCAAATTGATGTATCACACCTTATCTTTATCATAAAATTCACTTTTAAAATGAAAATTGTCATTATTTATTAGTGTTTTGTTTCTCGCCATCTTGAATATATAATAACATATATATCTCGGGTGTTCTACCACCTAGATATGTCAAGTTTGGGTTCATTTTACACGTTTTTTAATTATCTAACGAAATATTTACGAATCATTTGATTTCGGCCATCTTGGATTTTATAAAAAGTGTTAAAATCGAAATAACTCGGAAAGTTAATAAGCAAAATAAGTCGATTTTTCGTGTAAATGAAGAATATTTAAAAATTAAAGTTGATATTTAAACCTGAAGATATCATCATTCCTTTTATTTTTTAAGAAACATCAAAAATAATAAGAGTTTCGTAAAGATCAGAAAATTTTAACCCAATTTGATGTATCACACTTTATCTTTATCATAAAATTCACTTTTAAAATCAAAATTGTCATTATTTATTGGTGTTTTGTTTTCGGCCATCTTGAATTTATAAAAATAAAGATATCTCGGGTGTTATAACACCTAGATATGTCAAGTTTGGGCTCATTTAACACGTTTTTTAATTATCTAACGAAATATTTACGAATCATTAATTTTCGGCCATCTTGATTTTACAAAAAATATTAAAATCGAAATAATTCGGAAAGTTATTAAGCAAAATACGTCGTGTTTGGATTCATTTTAAAGGATTTTTCGTATAGATGAAGAATATTTAAAAATTAAAGTTGATGTTTAAATCTGAAGATATCATCATTCCTTTTATTCTTTAAGAAACATCAAAAATAATAAGATTTTCGTAAAGATCGGAAAATTTTAACTCAATTTGATGTATCACACCTCATCTTTATCATAAAATTCACTTTTAAAATCAAAATTGTCATTATTTATTAGTTAGTGTTTTGTTTTCGGCCATCTTGATTTTATAAAAATATAGATATCTCAGGTGTTCTACCACCTAGATATATCAAGTTTGGGCTCATTTCACACGTTTTTTAATTATCTAACGAAATATTTACGAATCATTAATTTTCGGCCATCTTGATTTTACAAAAAATGTTAAAATCGGAACAAATCGGAAAGTTATTAAGCAAAATACGTCGTGTTTGGATTCATTTTAAAGGATTTTTCGTGTAGATGAAGAATATTTAAAAATTAAAGTTGATATTTAAACCTGAAGATGTGATCATTCCTTTTATTTTTTAAGAAACAACAAAACTAATAAGAGTTTCGTAAAGATCAGAAAGTTTTAACCCAATTTGATGTATCACACCTCATCTTTATCATAAAATTCACTTTTAAAATCAAAATTGTCATTATTTATTGGTGTTTTGTTTTCGGCCATCTTGAATTTATAAAAGTAGAGATATCTCGGGTGTTATAACACCTAGATATGTCAAGTTTGGGCTCATTTAACACGTTTTTTAATTATCTAACGAAATATTTACGAATCATTAATTTTCGGCCATCTTGATTTTACAAAAAATATTAAAATCGAAATAATTCGGAAAGTTATTAAGCAAAATACGTCGTGTTTGGATTCATTTTAAAGGATTTTTCGTATAGATGAAGAATATTTAAAAATTAAAGTTGATGTTTAAATCTGAAGATATCATCATTCCTTTTATTCTTTAAGAAACATCAAAAATAATAAGATTTTCGTAAAGATCGGAAAATTTTAACTCAATTTGATGTATCACACCTCATCTTTATCATAAAATTCACTTTTAAAATCAAAATTGTCATTATTTATTAGTTAGTGTTTTGTTTTCGGCCATCTTGATTTTATAAAAATATAGATATCTCAGGTGTTCTACCACCTAGATATATCAAGTTTGGGCTCATTTCACACGTTTTTTAATTATCTAACGAAATATTTACGAATCATTAATTTTCGGCCATCTTGATTTTACAAAAAATGTTAAAATCGGAACAAATCGGAAAGTTATTAAGCAAAATACGTCGTGTTTGGATTCATTTTAAAGGATTTTTCGTGTAGATGAAGAATATTTAAAAATTAAAGTTGATATTTAAACCTGAAGATGTGATCATTCCTTTTATTTTTTAAGAAACAACAAAACTAATAAGAGTTTCGTAAAGATCAGAAAGTTTTAACCCAATTTGATGTATCACACCTCATCTTTATCATAAAATTCACTTTTAAAATCAAAATTGTCATTATTTATTGGTGTTTTGTTTTCGGCCATCTTGAATTTATAAAAGTAGAGATATCTCGGGTGTTATAACACCTAGATATGTCAAGTTTGGGCTCATTTAACACGTTTTTTAATTATCTAACGAAATATTTACGAATCATTAATTTTCGGCCATCTTGATTTTACAAAAAATATTAAAATCGAAATAATTCGGAAAGTTATTAAGCAAAATACGTCGTGTTTGGATTCATTTTAAAGGATTTTTCGTATAGATGAAGAATATTTAAAAATTAAAGTTGATGTTTAAATCTGAAGATATCATCATTCCTTTTATTCTTTAAGAAACATCAAAAATAATAAGATTTTCGTAAAGATCGGAAAATTTTAACTCAATTTGATGTATCACACCTCATCTTTATCATAAAATTCACTTTTAAAATCAAAATTGTCATTATTTATTAGTTAGTGTTTTGTTTTCGGCCATCTTGATTTTATAAAAATATAGATATCTCAGGTGTTCTACCACCTAGATATATCAAGTTTGGGCTCATTTCACACGTTTTTTAATTATCTAACGAAATATTTACGAATCATTAATTTTCGGCCATCTTGATTTTACAAAAAATGTTAAAATCGGAACAAATCGGAAAGTTATTAAGCAAAATACGTCGTGTTTGGATTCATTTTAAAGGATTTTTCGTGTAGATGAAGAATATTTAAAAATTAAAGTTGATATTTAAACCTGAAGATGTGATCATTCCTTTTATTTTTTAAGAAACAACAAAACTAATAAGAGTTTCGTAAAGATCAGAAAGTTTTAACCCAATTTGATGTATCACACCTCATCTTTATCATAAAATTCACTTTTAAAATCAAAATTGTCATTATTTATTGGTGTTTTGTTTTCGGCCATCTTGAATTTATAAAAGTAGAGATATCTCGGGTGTTATAACACCTAGATATGTCAAGTTTGGGCTCATTTAACACGTTTTTTAATTATCTAACGAAATATTTACGAATCATTTGTTTTCGGCCATCTTGGATTTTATAAAAAGTGTTAAAATCGAAATAACTCGGAAAGTTAATAAGTGAAGTAAGTCGTGTTTGGATTTATTTTAAAGGATTTTTCGTGTCGATGAAGAATATTTAAAAATTAAAATTGATATTTAAACCTGAAGATATTATCATTCCTTTTATTTTTTAAGGAACATCAAAAATAATAAGATTTTCGTAAAGATTAGAAAATTTTAACCCAAATTGATGTATCACACCTCATCTTTATCATAAAATTCACTTTTAAAATCAAAATTGTCATTATTTATTAGTGTTTTGTTTTCGGCCATCTTGAATTTATGAAAATAAAGATATCTCGGGTGTTATAACACCTAGATATGCCGAGTTTGGGCTCATTTCACACGTTTTTTAATTATCTAACGAAATATATACGAATCATTAATTTTCGGTCATCTTGATTTTACAAAAAATGTTAAAATCGGAATAACTCGAAAAGTTAATAAGTAAAATAAGTCGTGTTTCGATTTATTTTAAAGGATTTTTGGTGTAGATCAAGAATATCCAAAAATTAAAGTTGATAAATAAACCGGAAGTCTCCATCATTCCTTTATTTTTTACATTTTGTATTTGTATTCTTTTAAAATGAAATGTTAAACCAAATTTATTGTAAATTAAGATTTAGTAATATTTTATAATTGAAAAACAATAATATACATTTCAATTTTTTAAGAAACGTCAAAAATAATAAGATTTTCGTAAAGATCAGAATATTTTAACCCAATTTGATGTATCACACCTTATCTTTATCATAAAATTCACTTTTAAAATCAAAATTGTCATTATTTATTGGTGTTTTGTTTTCCGCCATCTTGAATTTATAATAATATAGATATCTCGGGTGTTCTACCACCTAGATATGTCAAGTTTGGGCTCATTTCACACGTTTTTTAATTATCTAACGAAATATTTACAAATCATTTGTTGTCGGCCATCTTGGATTTTATAAAAAGTGTTAAAATCGAAATAACTCGGAAAGTTAATAAGTAAAATAAGTCGTGTTTGGATTTATTTTAAATGATTTTTCGTGTAAATCAAGAATATTTAAAAATTAAAGTTGACATTTAAACCGGAAGTCTCTATCATTCCTTTATTTTTTACATTTTGTGTTTGTATTCTTTTAAAATGAAATGTTAAACAAAATTTATTGCAAATTGAGATTTAGTAATATTTTATAATTGAAAAACAACAATATTCATTCCAATTTTTTAAGAAACATCAAAAATAATAAGAGTTTCGTAAAGATCAGAAAATTTTAACCCAATTTGATGTATCACACCTCATCTTTATCATAAAATTCACTTTTAAAATCAAAATTGTCATTATTTATTAGTGTTTTGTTTTCGGCCATCTTGAATTTATAAATGTAGAGATACCTCTGGTGTTATAACACCTAGATATGCCGAGTTTGGGCTCATTTCACACGCTTTTTAATTATCTAATCAAATATTTACGAATCATTAATTTTCGGCCATCTTGATTTTTCAAAAAATTTTAAAATCGAAATAACTCGAAAAGTTAATAAGTAAAATAAGTCGTGTTTGGATTTATTTTAAAGGATTTTTCGTGTAGATGAAAAATATTTAAAAATTAAAGTTGATATTTAAACCTGAAGATGTGATCATTCCTTTTATTTTCTAAGAAACGTCAAAAATAATAAGATTTTCGTAAAGATCAGAAAATTTTAACCCAATTTGATGTATCACACCTCATCTTTATCATAAAATTCACTTTTAAAATCATAGTAGTCATTATTTATTAGTGTTTTGTTTTCGGCCATCTTGAATTTATTAAAATAAAGATATCTCGGGTGTTATAACACCTAGATATGCCGAGTTTGGGCTCATTTCACACGTTTTTTAATTATCTAACGAAATATTTACAAATCATTTGTTTTCGGCCATCTTGGATTTTACAAAAAATGTTAAAATCGGAATAACTCGGAAAATTAATAAGTAAAATACGTCGTGTTTGGATTCATTTTAAAGGATATTTCGTGTAGATCAAGAATATTTAAAAATTAAAGTTGATATTTAAACCTGAAGATATCATCATTCCTTTTATTTTTTAAGAAACATCAAAAATAATAAGATTTTCGTAAAGATCAGAAAATTTTAACCCAAATTGATGTATCACACCTTATTTTTATGATAAAATTCACTTTTAAAGTCATAATTGTCATTATTTATTAGTGTTTTGTTTTCAGCCATCTTGAATTTATAAAAATAAAGATATCTCGGGTGTTATAACACCTATATATGCCGAGTTTGGGCTCATTACACACGTTTTTTAATTATCTAACGAAATATTTACGAATCATTAATTTTCGGCCATCTTGATTTTATAAAAAATGTTAAAATCGGAATAACTCGGAAAGTTATTAAGCAAAATACGTCGTGTTTGGATTTATTTTAAACATAATTGATTATAAAATTTTAATTAAAAAAAAATTATTTATTTTTACCGTTTCATTGAACCGCTTTTATTTGTAAATTACGTTCAATGTAGTTTAGAAACTTTTATAAGTTTTCACTTTACGTTTATTTTGACGCGGGCAACGTTTATTGATTCATTCATTCTTACTTACGTGGAGTTTACACTCCGTGTAATTAAAATTCACCCAAAACATTCAACGATTTCAAAAAATAAACCTATAATTACACTTTTTATTGTTTAAAAATGTTTTTGTATCGTAATAAAACCTAATTTTGTCGATTTAAATGTTGTATTTATTCAAAATTCGTCGAATTTCAACGAATTCGAGTATAATCAAAACAATGTTACATCTACCGTTTGATAGATGGCGTAGTTTCGCACAAATTATACAAAACCGGGTCCGCCATTGTTACCATCGGTTGTGTGGCCCTTAGAATCAGAAGAGAATACGTTAAATCGCCGTTTTAAAAATTAGATTTGTGTTTAAAGGTGGTTTTTTAAACGCGACGCGTTCGCACCGGTCGTTATTCTTACCGATTTGGAAAAACGGTTTTTCTTCGTGGAACTGGTTCGATCCGACTCCCCAACGAGTGTGAGTGTGCAAAGTAGGTAAATTGTCAACGATTCTCTTTTCAAACATCGATTCTCCCCGGATACAAAACTGTTTTTGTGGCGTCAAATCGTTTTTTGCGCGTTTAAACTTCATCGTTTGATGCAAAAAAGTTTTTGCGATCGTCTTTTTTTTAAGTAATCGTTCTTTTTTTTTATTGGAATGTTTACGCCTACTAGATTTGAGTAATTAAGTTTGTTTAAAAAAATTGGTTTTCTTTTTTAGGTTTATCTGGCGAATTTAGAAGATTAATTAATTAATTACACTTTGATTTGGTTATTAATGAAAGTTGGTGGTGTTTTTAAAAAAATTAGTGCTGGATGTTTGAAAGTGAGGTAATTGTTAAGCGAATTGTGTGGATAAACGCTTCTTTTTCGACATGTCACCTGGTTAAAACGAGATTTAAGGGGATTTAATTCAGGAAAATCGCTTTTTTTGTTGATAACTTACGTTTTTGTGAACTTTTACCATGTCCGGGCCACCTCATCATTCCCATAATAGGCAACCTCCCCCTGGAAATCCAGCTTGGAATCACTTGCAGGTTTGTTTTAATTAATTAAAACGATTTTTTTGATTATTTTGGTTCATAACTATGTAATTAGAACTGTCAGTGTCAATTTGAATGTCAAATTGACAGTTGTAATGACGTTTATTATTTTGAGGTTAAGTTGAGGTTAATTTTAATTTTTGATTATTTTAGACTACATTCCAGGTGCCAAATTTTTTTCCGCGTCAACCCCAACATGCCCACATGTCCAATGAGCACCATTTAACTTTGCACCAACCCACTTGGCATACTCCAACCACTGAGCCAGCAATGAAAACCATTGCAGCTTTACCCCATGTTTTTAACCTGGATCAGATGCTTACGGAGCGTTCGTATCGCGCAGGGGTTGATTTGACTTTGACAAGAAATGGGAACCAAAACGGCGATGTTCCATCAGGCCCCATTAGCTTAAGTGTTCGTGACACCAACAAGATTAATAGTTTACCTCCTGGGGCTTTGGGTATCCAAGGGGTTGAATTAACAAAGAGTTTGAGCCCTGGGTTGAAGTCTTTGAGTCCTGGGTTAAAAAGTAGTAGCCCTGGTTTGAAGAGTAATAGCCCAGGAGTTATAAAACCAATGAGCCCTGCTTTATCAACAAGCCCTGGGTTACAAGATAGCCCAAAAACGAATAAAAAGAAGAGGATGGATAGTGTGCTTGAAAAATTAAACACAACAGTTGAAAAAAATGAGGTTGAGAAGACCCTCTTTGAAATAGAGAAAGAAAAAATTAATTTGGAAAAGCAACCTATAGAAAAATCAATAGAAAAATCACTAGAAAAACCTTTGAGTGTGTTAGTTCAAGGACCTAATGATGAAAATAGTAATTCAAGTAGTACAATAAACGCGCCAACCCCCACAAATGATGACCTATTAGTGTCTCCATACAGTAATGAAGATAGTTTGGATAGCAATAAATCAAGGAGGAAAAGAAAACCAAGTAAAACAGTTCGTGTAGCCAAAGAACCATCAGAAAAACCAGAAGAAAAAGAGGAACCAGTAATCCCCCCCACAGAAGATGTAATCGACGGCAAAATCAACGAAAAAGTCGTCGAAAATGAACCGGAAGAAGTCCCACCGGCCAAAAAACCACGAAGAAAAACCAGCTCAGAATCGGAAACGATCGAAAAAATCGCCTCCATGGTCCAAGAAGTCGTTCAAGATCACCAAAAAGACGAAGAGAATCAAGAATCCAATAAAAACGAAACTAAAATTGACGAAAAAATCGATGATAATCAAATAGAGGAAAAAAACGTTGAAAATAACCAAGATGATTCAAATAAAGAAATTGAGCAATCGAAAGTTGATGTTCCGGTTATGGGGGGAGTTGTTACGGCGGCTCAACGAAAAGCTACGAATTTTGTTGAGGTAATATTAAATTATTAATAATTTTAGTTTTTATTAAAAAAAAAAATTAACCTAAAAAATTAATTTTTTTGACGTTGTCATAGCAACTAAAAGATGGCTGCTCAAAAAACTTTTTGACAGGTAATATAACCTCAAATTAGAATTTTTATTAATTTTTTCTATAAATACTTAAATAATTTGCTCTGAATTGTAGTTGTTAATAAGAAACAAGTTTGTATAAGTGTTGGAAATGATTTGTAATTAAAACCAATCATTATAATTTCCTTTTGGTGTTCTATTTTTGTTGAGATTTTTGAGAAGTAACCAATTAATTTTTATACTGGAAGATTTATTGCTGATCTCACATTGAATTGAGGAGATTAAATTACATCAAAATTGTGTCATCAATAACTCGTTTTTGTTGTAGTGTACTAGAAAATGTTTTGATCATATAAAGGTATGAAAATATCACTGATTCTTATTCTAATCACAGTGGTTATGGACTAGTCTGTCTAACCACACTTGAGAGTGGTTAATTTTGGACACCTTGCAATACCAAATCACCTGCAAGCCTAGTAATGTCTTCAATTAGATTCTCTTAAGACTCTAGAGTCTAATGTACTGTTTTATATCTGAAGTATCCAAAACTCTCACCATTTCCAAGAATATATTGCGAGATAGAATGCCTTAAAGGTTGCAATAACCCCCTGATCTATTGGTTGTTGTATTTGGATGTAAATAACTTTGACAGCCAATGGAGTTTTGATTTTGTTCAGGTTTTGAGGATGTCCTGGAGCATTGTCCAAGAGAAAAAGTGCTTTGGGATCAACCCTAATAGGAGTTTTTTCATTGAATACAACTTTATTTATTATTAACAACCTAATTGTAACAATCCCAATACGATATATAAAATCTCTTGTTGCAATTCGTATAAAATCGATTTCTTGGAATATGAGTATGAAAATTTCCCAAAGTGTTAATAAGAGTGCCTTCTTTCCAATGAACTAACCCGTTTTGAAAAATAGCTTTTAGTTTTTGAGAAAACAATATTTGAAGTTTTGATAAAATTTTCGATGTTGCAATTTTCATCGATAATTTTCAAAATTCGCTATAAAATTAATTTCTTGAAGGATCCTTGTGGAAATATCACCAATTATTAATTAAAGTATCCTCTTTTTAATGCAAAAAGCCGTTTTGAAAAATCACTTTTAGTTCTTGAGAAATAAATTTTTGAAATGATCGACAATTTTTTCGAATTTTGCAATTTTCGCCGATTAAGTTTTAAAAATTCGTATAAAATCGATTTTTTGGAATATAAGTATGAAAGTTTCCCAAAATGTTAATAAAAGCGTCCTCTTTCCAATGAACCAACCCGTTTTGAGAAATAACTTTTAGTTTTAGAGAAAACAATATTTGAAGTTTTGATAAAATTTTCGATGTTGCAATTTTCGTCGATCACTTTCAAAATTCGCTATAAAATTAATTTCTTGAAGGATCCTTGTGGAAATATCACCAATTATTAATTAAAGTATCCTCTTCTTAATGCAAAAAGCCGTTTTAAAAAATCACTTTAAGTTCTTGAGAAATAAATTTTTGAAATAATCTAATTTTACAATTTTCGCCGATTAAGTTTTAATAATTCGTATAAAATCGATTTTTTGGAATATAAGTATGAAAATTTCCCAAATTGTTAATAAAAGTCTCCTCTTTCCAATGAACCGACAGATTTTGAAAAATAGCTTTTAGTTTTTGAGAAAACAATATTTGAAGTTTTGATAAAATTTTCGATGTTACAATTTTCGGCGATAACTTTCAAAATTCGCTATAAAATTCCCTCTTTTAAGAGTTGCTTCGTTAGTTCATTTTGAAAAAAGTTCATTTTGTATCTTGGATCCAAATAAGTTGATCTATCTTATCAGCTTTCTTATTAATTTTTTAATTTCATTTTTATTCAAATATCGCAATAATGTGGCAATATATAGATATAAAGCCTGGTATTCGGCTTTGACACACTAACAGCGGTTTAAGTTTCAAAGTTCCTGAAACATTCGCTGCCAGCAAAAGAGTTATTCTATCTTTCGCAACTTGGAGTAACTAAAACCTGGAGCAGATCGCTCTTCACCAGAAATAAAAGTTCGTGCTGGTAACTCCTTCCAATAAAGACTTGTCTCATCAACGTTGAAGATTAACTCAGGAGAATAGTTGTTTTGTTCTCTGAACATCACCCTGAAATTCCTTCACTACATAATTTCACACTACGACGGTTACTTTGGGATTTAAATCTCATAAAACAACCCTTGCGTCCCAAAAATGTTTCTTCACCTCCATCTGTTTCCTTAAGATTATTAAAAATTAATTTTGCTTTTTCCGTTATAACAGTTTGAGTCAATGGAATATTTTTTTGATGTACATGATCCATCCATGTTAATTAAAGATTATTTTAAAAACATAACTCATGCCCAACAATTAGTAAATACGTTTAATAAATAAATTACTAAATAACTACATTGAACAACGAAAATCGGTCTAGTATAAGGGGAAAACCCGATCGAAACATCGGGGATTCACACAGCGTAATACACGTCTTCGTATTTCATTTTGTGACCCTCTTTGTGTATTGGGCATATGATACTTCTTTTTGAGTCGTTAGGTATTGTTTCTTCTGCCCATACATAGCTTATTAAGTTGTATAGGGGCTTCTGCAAAATATCTCCTTTTTTATACAATTCGGCGGAATTTCATCCCATCCTGGCGCCTTATTGTTTTTCATCCATCTAATCACTTCTTCTTTCGTTGGTGCGGGTACCATTATGTCGTGAGTTCCGATTCCAGTTGGTTTTTGGTAGTCCCCTTCTTTTATGTTGAATTGTTGATAATTATTTTGGTATCATTCCTTGGTGTTGTATTATAGGCATAAGGCAGTCTATAGTTTCTGCTGCCTCTGCTTTCCCACTGTGTAATATTATGTGGATCTTAATGCCACTAATTTCTTCGCATGTCCACTTAGTTTGTTGTATAGGTATTATCTTCGTTTTGTACCTTTTAAATCCCATTAGAAGCTTCTTTGAAGGTTTCGTAACTTGTACCCGTCCTCCATATGCATTGGTTACCGTATTTTAGCTAAAGTTGCTCAGGTTTCTAGAGTTCCTTACTTTTTCAGGAGGTCTTGTGGAGGAGAGGGTGATTTTTTTCAAATAATTTTTCTTAAATATTTGTGATAAAGTTTAACCACGGTTTTCTTTTAAAATAGCTGAAATTGGATTAAAGTTTTGTTCATCAAATCATCACATCTCAACCTCTAAAGTCCACTGCAAGACATAGGTCTCCCTTGGTTGCTTCCATAACTCTCTACCCTGAGCAATTTGCAACCAGTTGTTGATACTCCTTAAATTATCATACCGTCTGGTTGAGTTTCATTTCAAAATAATCATTCTTTCATAGGCACAGAGATAGCCTCAACATTGATCTTTCCATTGCTCTTTGTGCAATTCTAATTTTGTTTGCTCCTTTCTTCGTCAATCTTAGGGTCTCTGTACCATACGTTAAAGCATGATGTAGAATACACATTGATTGAAGACCTTTATTTCAAAAACACATTTAAGATTCGTTCATAGGCGATCCACGCCAGCCCAATTTGTACTAGTAAATCCATTGGTTTTAAGTATTTATTAACCCTTATTACTTGTTAGTTACTTGTTTCTACCAATTAAGAGCTTTGTCATGTCTTATGTTTTTGAGATGTTGATTTTGTTCAGTCTTTGTAACATTGCTTGGGCTATATTTATACTGTCGGATATGAGGAGAATATCGTCTGCACTTTGCAGGTATTTTGCGGCATTTTTCTTTATGCCTAAGTTGTCCCATTCTATCTATTTGGACACATACTGGAGCAAATTGTTGAATAATTTTGGAGAAATGGTGTTGCATTGATGAACACTTCTTTTTATGCTGTTGCTATGAAGTTATTAGTATCTTCATGAAGCTTAGTACAAGTTGTAACGTTCACTATGAGAGTCAACTAGGGATTTCAACATTTCCTGCTGCTTGATTTCTCGATTACACTTTTTAGAATTTGGAGGTGATCGTTTGAGTCGTACCCTGATCGGAACTCGACGATCAATCATCGTCTTTTTTCATTACCAAGCTTACAATTTTCTGCCCAGCTTTTATTCTCATATATCAGTCTGAGTTTACTGTATTTTCCAGTCATCCTATATTCTGCCCAACTTTTTTTCCTTTTATCAGTCTCTGTTCATAATAATTTTTTCATTACTAGATACTTCTTAGGTTTTCTCCATTCTGCACAATAATTTTCTATCCCTCTATCCGCTCTATTGAGTGTCCCCAGCGTATTTATCTATTATTACGATCTTTTCACTCTTCTTTCATTCGGCACAATCTCTTTTCTCTACTTACAATTAGTCTCTATTCAGTGTCTTTCTTCTATTTCCTGTCTCCCTCTTTTTTATCCAAACTTTTTTCTTTTATACCAGTCCGTGTCCAGTGTCTTTTTTCTATTATCAGGCACTTTGCAACTTTCTGTCCAAGTTATTTTTCTGATATATCTATTGTCACGATCTTTCCAGTCTTCCTTCATTCTACCCAACGTTGTTTTTTAATTACTAGAGTCTTCCTGGGTTTTCTCCTGTCTATACAACTTTTTTCCTCTCTTCTTAGTCTCGATTTAGTGTCTTCCTTCTATTTATAGTCTCCCTACTTTTCGCAGAAACTTTTTTCTCTTAAACTAGGATATCCAGGCAAGTGGTCCGACTCGTCGTGGTCTCGTCAAATGCAATCGTACATGTCAAATAATGTCGTCATTATTTAACATGAACGAGTACACGACGAGTCCAACCGCTTGTTGGAACAAAGCTATTATAAATTCCTAATTTTCTGTCCAACTTTTTTCTCGTATGTTAGTTTCTGTTCACTGTATTTTTCTATTATCACGCTCTTTTCATTTACCAGTCTCAGTTCGGCGTATTTTTTGTATTACCAGATTCTTTTAAGATTAGCCATTTTGTCAACATTTTTAATCTCTTCCTGGTCTTCATTTAGCGTCTTTCTACTATTTCTAGTCTTCCTCTTTTTTATCCAAACTTTTTTCTCTTATACCAGTTTGTGTCCAGTGTCTTTTTTCTATTATCATGCACTTTGCAACTTTCTCCCCGGTCTCTGTTCACTGTATTTTTGTATTGCCACGATCTTTCCAGTCTCCCTTCATTCAACCCGACGTTGTTGCTCTTTTAGCAGTCTCAGTTCACCATATTTTTTTAATTACTAGAGTCTTCCTAGTTTACCTCCTTTCTGTACAACCTTTTTCCTCTCATTCTAGTCTCGATTTAGTGTCTTTTTTCTATTACCCTGCACTTTGCAACTTTCTCCCCCGTCTCTATTCACTGTATTTTTGTATTGCCACGATCTTTCCAGTCTCCCTTCATTCTACCCGACGTTGTTGCTCTTTTAGCAGTCTCAGTTCACCATATTTTTTAATTACTAGAGTTTTCCTAGTTCATCTCCTTTCTGTACAACCTTTTTCTTCTCCTAGTCTCCATTTAGCGTCTTTCTACTATTTCTAGTCTTCCTCTTTTTTATCCAAACTATTTTCTCTTATACCAGTTTGTGTCCAGTGTCTTTTTTCTATTACCATGCACTTTGCAACTTTCTCCCCGGTCGCTATTCACTGTATTTTTGTATCGCCACGATCTTTCTAGTCTCCCTTCATTCAACCCGACGTTGTTGCTCTTTTAGCAGTCTCAGTTCACCATATTTTTTTAATTACTAGAGTCTTCCTAGTTTACCTCCTTTCTGTACAACCTTTTTCTTCTCTTTCTAGTCTCCATTTAGCGTCTTTCTACTATTTCTAGTCTTCCTCTTTTTTATCCAAACTTTTTTCTCTTATACCAGTTTATGTCCAGTGTCTTTTTTCTATTACCATGCACTTTGCAACTTTCTTCCCGGTCTCTATTCACTGTATTTTTGTATTGCCACGATCTTTCCAGTCTCCCTTCATTCTACCCGACGTTGTTGCCCTTTTAGCAGTTTCAGTTCACCATATTTTTCTAATTACTAGAGTCTTCCTAGTTTACCTCCTTTCTGTACAACCTTTTTCTTCTCTTTCTAGTCTCCATTTAGCGTCTTTCTACTATTTCTAGTCTTCCTCTTTTTTATCCAAATTTTTTTCTCTTATACCAGTTTATGTCCAGTGTCTTTTTTCTATTACCATGCACTTTGCAATTTTCTCCCCGGTCTGTATTCACTGTGTTTTTGTATTAGCACGATCTTTCCAGTACCCGACGCTGTTGCTCTTTTAGCAATCTCAGTTCACCATATTTTTTTAATTACTAGAGTCTTCCTAGTTTACCTCCTTTCTGTACAACCTTTTTCCTCTCATTCTAGTCTCGATTTAGTGTCTTTTTTCTATTACCCTGCACTTTGCAACTTTCTCCCCCGTCTCTATTCACTGTATTTTTGTATTGCCACGATCTTTCCAGTCTCCCTTCATTCTACCCGACGTTGTTGCTCTTTTAGCAGTCTCAGTTCACCATATTTTTTTAATTACTAGAGTCTTCCTAGTTTACCTCCTTTCTGTACAACCTTTTTCTTCTCTTTCTAGTCTCCATTTAGCGTCTTCCTACTATTTCTAGTCTTCTTCTTTTTTATCCAAACTTTTTTCTCTTATACCAGTTTGTGTCCAGTGTCTTTTTTCTATTACCATGCACTTTGCAACTTTCTCCCCGGTCGCTATTCACTGTATTTTTGTATCGCCACGATCTTTCTAGTCTCCCTTCATTCTACCCGACGTTGTTGCTCGTTTAGCAGTCTCAGTTCACCATATTTTTTTAATTACTAGAGTCTTCCTAGTTTACCTCCTTTCTGTACAACCTTTTTCTTCTCATTCTAGTCTCCATTTAGCGTCTTTCTACTATTTCTAGTCTTCTTCTTTTTTATCCAAACTTTTTTCTCTTATACCAGTTTGTGTCCAGTGTCTTTTTTCTATTGCCATGCACTTTGCAACTTTCTCCCCGGTCTCTATTCACTGTATTTTTGTATTGCCACGATCTTTCCAGTCTCCCTTCATTCTACCCGACGTTGTTGCTCTTTTAGCAGTCTCAGTTCACCATATTTTTGTCCTCATTTCTGTCCAACATTTTTCTTCTCTTTCTAGTCTCGATTTTGTGTCTTTCTTCTATTTCCAGTCTCCCTAGATTCTTTTTAGTTCAGCCATTTTGTCAGCCGTTTGTGTCCAAACCTTTTTCTCGTATACCAGTCTGTATTCAATGTTTTTTCTTATTAAAGCTAAGCTTCTAATTTTCTTTCTAGTCTCCTTTCGTTCTGCCCAACGTTCTTTCTCTTTTGCCAATTTCTGTTCACCGTATTTTTTCGATTACTAAACCCTTCCTAGTTTTCTTACATTCTGTACAACCGTTTTCCTCTATTACTGGACTCTATTCAGTGTCTTTCTTTTATTGCCAGTCTTCTTCCTTTCTGCGCAACCTTTTATCTCTTTATCTAATCTCCGTTTAGTGTCTTTTTGCTATTACTAAGCTTCCAACTTTCTAGACAGCTTTTTTTTACAGATCAGAATCTGTTCAGTATATTTCTCTATTGCCAGACTCTTTCCAATACTCTCTATTCAGCGTTTTTATTCTATTTCTAGCCTATCTCCATTCTACCTCCATTCTTTCTTCTTTTCTAGACCTCTGTTCTATATTTTTTTGATGTTACCAGTCTCTATTTAGTATATTTCTTCTATTACCAATTTTTTTTTCGCCCAATCTTAATAATAGCTAGAAGACATCTTGTTGGGTAAACTATTAAAGTTCCAGAAACCACAATCTCGAGAATGTAGAGATTTACACTCTCATTGGTCACTGGTGGTATTGCCAACATAAAAGTACCAAAACTCACTTCGTTGTCATAAAAAAAATGTAGACAAATGATTAATATAACCTAAAAATGAATTATTTTTGCGATCATTACCAACTTGAATTTCTTTTTATTTATCCAGGTTGAGAATAAGTTAGAAGAAATGTTTGCTGGTATCGTTGAAGATCCACCAAAACCAGAAGAAATTCCAAAACCAACATCGCCCGAATCGCCACAAAACGAAAATTTAGCAACATCAACAACGTCAAAAATTGAAACCACATCAGAAGAGATTACGTCGACGAATAACGATGAAAACGCTTTGTTATTAATCGAGGAAAGTGATGATTTGTGTAAAACTCCGGTTAAAAAGGGGAAATTATCGACGAAGCGACGAACCAACACGACGCCCAAGAAGAAAAAGGGGAGCAAAGCGGCGAAAGTTTCGTCAAAAACGAGCGGCGGACCCAGCGGGAGTAGCAAGAAAGATAAGAAATCGATTAATGGGAAAATTGAGGTTATTAAGGATGTTTACGCGTATGATTCTGGGAGTAATACGAGTTCGGTGAAATCCAGGGGACCTTTTGTTCATATTGAAGGTAATTTTAATTATTAAATAAATGTTTAGGTTCAACGACGGTAGAATCTAAGAGGACCATCTGCATACAGTGCCGCGTTAACAATGACTAGGGCAATTAAAAATTGAGCTTTTTGACGTTTTCGAACGTAACCTAATTTAACTTAATTCCTTTTAAAGCATTTTTATTTCCTCATTTGTAGTCAGTTCTATTAGTTCTTCTTCCAGCTGCATGGGTGGGCTGTGTTAACATTTGCAAAAGGATCCAACACCCAGTATTTCCAATATTTCCAATGTTAAAATGTTCTGGAATCATTCTTGGAAATCACTGTGAAGGTTCTCCAAATATTGGCAGGAAATTAAGGAAATTGTGAAATTCACGTCTGCCAATATTTTTCTTATGTAAAAGCAGCAACGACATTTTTTGTTTCAATCAAGTTTAAGTCATCACCTTGTCTGCCAAATACGCAATGTCATTCTTTGATGTGATGAGGTTGTTGTACAATTCTTTGTCTTCGTTTTTCAAAAACACTATAACAGTTTTAAACAGATTGTAAAAACGAGCCTCTTGATCTGTGTGAAACAACAATCGGTTGAAAACTTCGTCATAATAACATAAAGGATTTTATTGACTGCTTTGATGACATGTTGCAGTGATTGAAACAGCCCACTGTGGCCTAGAGCGAAATCATTGCAATAATATGTGGTTTTTCATCCTGAAATATTTAATAATTGGATCAAATACACATTTTCCGCAAAAAAATATACAGGGTGATCAAATAAAAATTAAAAAAATATAAAAACTTGATCAAAAAACAAACACAATTTTAAACAAAATAATTACTAATACGAATTAAACACAAATATATTACTAAACATAATCGGATTTGTCCTCACCATCGTCGTCACTTTGCGGTCCACCAGGTTCTTCATTTTCCAAATTTTTGTTTACGTTTATACAGGTGTCTCACCTAACTGGTTCGTTAAAACTTACAATTAGTTAAAACTAGACCATAACTTCGTTTTTTTTTAATGAAATGCTATAGTTTTTTCTACACCTTTAATTGTACTTAAAAAAATAGGTTGACTTTGATACAAGTTATTTTTACGTAGCGCTTTTCGTTTTTGAGTTATTTTGGTTTTAAGCTTTTTTTTGGTAAATTTCAAGAAATTTCAGCCAACGTTCATTCAAAAAAGATCTAGATTGGCACGATTATTCTTCAGCTGCTGTCAAATAGATTGTCATTTGTTGTATCGGAGTATCTTATACAGGCTGGTCAAAAATTGAATTACTGTTTTTCCATATTCAATGGCGTGAAAGTCGAAAATTATAAATGGAACGCTCCATATTTTTTTAGCCTATCAGAAAGAGAATTTAATTCTGTACAAATTTATATATCGGTCTCTATTCATTGTATTTTTGTATTGCCACGATCTTTCTAGTTTCCCTTCATTTTGCCCAACCGTTTTTCTTTTTTATCAGTTTCTGTTCAGTGTATTTTTTCTATTGTCAGATTCTTCCTAGTTTTCCTCCATTCTGCACAATATTTTTCTTCCCTTCCTGGTCTCCATCCAGTGTCTTTCTTCTATTACCAGGCTTTTTTCATTCTGACCAACCTTTTATCTCTTTACTTAGTCTCTGTTCTCAGTGTATTTCTTTATTATTACGATTTTTTCCACTCTTTTCCATTCTGCACAATCTCTTTTCTCTCCTCACAGTCTCTATTCAGTGGTTTCTTCTATTTCCTGTCTTCCTGTTTTCTGTCCAAACTTTTTTCTCTTATACCAGTCTGTGTCCAGTGTCTTTTTTCTATTACCATGCACTTTGCAACTTTCAGCCCAACTTTTTTTCTCATATATCGGTCTCTATTCACTGTATTTTTGTATTGCCACGATCTTTCTAGTTTCCCTTCATTTTGCCCAACGCTTTTTCTCTTTTATCAGTCTCGGTTCAGTGTATTTTTTCTATTGTCAGATTCTTCCTAGTTTTCTTCCATTCTGTACAATCTTTTTCCTCTCTTCCTGCTATCTATTTGTTGTCTTTTTTTGTATTTCTAGTCTCCCTCTGTAGTATCTTCAGTAAATAATCACTCAATTTCTATTTGCCTTTTATTTCCGAAAAACACTCTACATTCTCTATACCTAACTTAACCTAACTTTCAATATGTCATGCCACCTTTTTTGTTTCTTCCATATACTACACCCTCTTTTCTGCCAAAGCTTTTTTTTCTTATACCGGCTTATACGTTTTTCTATTGCCAATTTTCTAATCTTTTGTCCAACCTTTTTCCTCATATGTTGACTGTATTTTTCTATTTCCATGTTATTTCCAATCTTTTTCCTTTCTGCCCAACCTTTTATCTCTTTATCTAGTCTATGTTTAGTATCTTTTTGCTATTACTAAGCTTCCAACGTTCTGCCCAGCTTTTTTTTCATAATGTTAGTGCCTATTCAGTACATTTTTCTATTGCCAGAGTCTTTCCAATGTTCATCCTTTCTGCCCAACTACCAACAGTCCCTATTCAGCGTTTTTCTTCTATTCCTAGCCTCTCTTCATTCTACCCAATTTACTTTCTCTCTTTTTAGTCCCAATTTAACCTCTTACTTCATTTCCAATCTCTCTCTCCTTGCTACCCAACCTTCTTTTTCTTAATTTGGTCTCTATTCAATGTTTTTTTTATGTTACCAGTCTTTAAATTTAGTGACTCTAAACATATTCTAATAATCTAACTTATAAATGGAACGCTCCATATTTTTTTAGCCTATCAGGAAGAGAATTTAATTCTGTACAAATTTACTATAAACATTCACACCTTTCTTTTTATGCACTCCAGCGAAATGCTTGTGTAATCCTTTTATTGAGCCGCCTTTACATACTAACGCCAATTCTACAAATATTGCAAGTGAATGTGTTTCTAGCAAACAATAGTTCTTGACAGGTTTTCTCGTCTAAACCTCAGATATAACATCAACGATGTTTCATAGGTCGGTAAAGTGGACTCATCCAACTGAATTGAAAATTGACTAGTGTTCAGATGGTTTTGTACGAAACTCTAAATCAGTCATCGTCTTGTTTAACCCTAGAGAGTGTTTCAATTTTCTTGCCAGGGAGGGGCAATTTTTTATCCTTTCTTGTTGCCATGGTCTGGTGAGTTGTTCTTGAAGTCTAACAACAAATTCTTATCTTGATAATGGTTTCTGTCCTCTTTTTATTGCATTATGCAATAATGCTGCTGCAAGGCCATCTCCTGGTCTTTCTATTGACGTACATACTCTCCAGCTCCAACTCCATCGGTATTTCTGACTTATTTTTGCAAAGATTGCCAACTATTGTTAGATCGTATGGTTTATTTCATAGTTTCGTGGCCAAAGGAATACTGGTAAACCAGCTATCCATCGAGATGTTGCGGGTTACTCACATCACTAAAATGACCATGAGATAAATATCATGTCTTATTTTCTGTTTGTTTTGATAAAATTATCAAAATTCGCTATAAATTTAATTTCTTGAAGGATCCTTGTGGAAATATCACCAATTATTAATTAAAGTATCCTCTTATTAATGCAAAAAGCCGTTTTGAAAAATCACTTTTAGTTCTTGAGACATAAATTTTTGAAATGATCGAATTTTGCAATTTTCGCCGATTAAGTTTTAAAAATTCGTATAAAATCCAGTTCTTCGAATATGAGTATGAAAATTTCCCAAAGAGTTAATAAAAGTATTCTCTTTCCAATGAACCAACCCGTTTTGAAAAATATCTTTTAGTTTTTGAGAAAACAATATTTGAAGTTTTGATCAAATTTTCGATGTTGCAATTT